GCTCCCAGAACTGATTACTGTTATTTTCCATTCTGCCTTCGAGCCGTTGTAGATAATCGTCTTTTGCATTCTTCACGGTGACTTTGTATTTCGTCGTCAGTTCTTTCAGTTTCCCATGGTTTACTGCTGACGTTTTATTTTTGTACCGTGCACGCGTTCGTTTTTTTGTTAACCGTATAACGCTTCTGTTAATCCATGGTTTGGCTTTATTTTTTAAATTTTGATGCATCAATACATGGTATGCATTTCTCTGTTAGCTTCATCACTCTCTGTGTTGCGCACATCTGTTTCTTCAGCAACGCATTTAAACGAAAGAAAGCCACAATACCTCGTTTCAGCTTCGGTCCGAGCGCGGCCGATGTTATGAGCCGAAGGGCCAATCAAATACCGCAAAAAGTGCAGCGTCATGGCGTGCTCTCTGCGCTTGATAAGACTAGCCGGCCGAGGAGCACCCACAGAGAAATGGCGAATACCGGCTGGCCCTATCAACTGCAGGGAGCACGCTAGACGTTGTGCCTTTTTCGCTGTTCGATTGGCCCTTCGGCTCATAACATCGGCCGCGCTCGGACCGAAGCTGAAACGAAGTATAGAAAGCTCGGAGCTAATGCCCTCATAATTTCCCCTGTCATACAAAAACACCTTTCTATCTGTAGTCGACTTTACACGTGCAGATTGAAAACGAAGCGTCATGGTCGCTTACGCTCGGTATGACATCGATTCGTTTAACAATGTCGGGATGATTACACAACAAAGAGTCAAGCATGCTCTGTCCGCGCGTAAGTACAAGTACATGCTGGGTAATACCTAGACTATCAACCATGGACTTCATATCAATATAAGTCGAGTCATTGTTCTACAGGCACACCCGTCATCGCTCCATGTCAAGTCTGGCAGATTAAAATCGCCACCAAGTACCACACATTCATTGGTAACACTAGAAACTATCTCGGTTAGGGTGTCTGTACAAGTAGAATCAAAATTTGGGGGCCTGTAGAAAACTCCTACCGCGCCTAAGCTGCTTTTAAAGTAAATACCTGTAGATAAATGCCGTGGTTCATGAGGTAAAGAAAAGCGTTTATCTTCAGGTTTTAGATTGGATTTGTGATGATTGGGCCGCTATATTATGTTCCCCTGACCGTCTACGCCGCCAGCACAGACCACATTAGTTTACGGTTCGCAGCGCTTTTCAATAAATATTAAAAAAAAAAAACTAGCTTTACACATTTGTAATATATTTATGGATGTTATTTTATTTACAAGTGTTGGTCCCAAGATGCGTATGGGAAGTATTTCTTTATTTAATTTTTTGTTTTATTTACCCTAAAGGCCTTAGTGGTATTACATAGGGTAGAGCAAAGTAAAGTAATTATTAAACTTGTTTGTTCGAGCGCATATAGGATTAATTTAAAAAAGGTGATATAAACACTATGATAGTGTTTCTGAATAAATGATACGCGGGCAAGATACCTTTTTGTATGAAAGGGTGATAAGTTAAATCGATGTTTTATAATGGTTGCACTGGTATAGCAGAGAAAGTCATGAACTATGAATCGAGTGGCTTTGCATAGCAGTGTTTCGTGTTATCTTTAAGACAAAAGATATTTTTGATTTTGAATGCGTTGCACTAAGCAACACATTTCTACACCGGGCTACGTGAAGAATTAACGGAACTTCGTATTGCGCTCTTCCCAACTAGAATGTTGGGACCGAGGGGTTGTCCGGGTACTTGGTTTGCGGAAGGGAGCCGAGCCAGGGCAGGGCCTCATGAGGACGCCGGACTCGGGGAAGAGCAGGGAGCAGAAGGGGTGTCTCGCATAACTCTTTTTAGATATACATATTGACAGGTTTACAACATCGTCCGGAGCAGACTTGTACGTAATCCGTTACAAGTAACGAAATTACTTGTAATCCCTTACATTTACCAGTAATTTGGTAACGAAATAATTACATATTTTCTAGAGTAATTTTAAAGTAATTCCCTTACATTTTTTACGTAACGGATTCCTTGTAATCCGTTACGTTTTTTTTGTTTTTTTTAAACCCCCCCCCCCCCCTTTCTAAAGAAAGAAATGTTTTTATTTTGGTAAAGTCGAGCGCAGTGACACTGTCACGCGAATTGATTAGCGCAAAGGTAGGATTGGCACTCTTCAGTTCCGCACGGCGTTTTTTTGCGACGCCAGGCCCCTGAATCTACGCCGCGTCCTGTCTAGTTCTCCCTTCGTTTTTTGTCCCTGTTGTTTTGGTGTATTACACCATGATGCAAGACCAACTAGCCCAACTAGCCATCCTTACCCTGAATCTATTTTTTTAGACCCCAACAACAATGTAAATAAAACCAAATGAGCATTTCTACAAAAAAAAAGGGGGGGGGGGGGCAAGTTATGGCCGCTTTTTTCGTTCCCTTTGTTTTTTCTTTGCGATCGAAGACGGGGCTAGGAGGACACCAAGTTATTGTGTGCCTCTTCGAGAAGATCGAGGCGGTGAGTGCACCGACGAGAATTAACAATGTCCTTCTCAGTTAGAGTGACTACAACCATTTTCATAATGTCACAACACGAGACACCCCCCCCCCCCCCCCCCAACGCTCCCTCTACCCTAAAAACTACTAAAGGAGATGTGATAATATGTGAAGGTGTTATTGCACACTTACATTCTCTTAAAAAGCAGGATGTATTTTTTTCTGATTCTTTCATCCTAATGTCCTTGCTTTATAAGCTACTTATTTTTTGTAGTCCAACTTCTAGGGTTGGCCCACTTTATTTGTTAATTCCAGCCAGGTTATCTGCACCTCAGTCACCCTTTTTGTGAGTCAGTTTTTTGCGAGCACTTCGAAAATGGTAATAGTCTTCCTTTCTTCTTCTTCCTGTTTTTACCACAGTAGGACACAATATATCTAAAGCAGATATTTTTACAAATAAGACATAAGGGTGGCTGACCTAGACTTGAGATTCTGGGCTTGAGCAGAGAGTGAAACTCCTCAGTGGGGCCATAGCACGGCTTACTTAGTTCTCTGCCCTTCGCTGCCCGTGGCATCAGCGGACGTCTATGTGGAGAACACAGGAGTAAACCGCAGTCGGTTCGTGCTCCGTGCGTTTTTGAACGGCACCGAGAAAGGTACACACGGCAAACGTGCATTTACATTTCCTTGTTTTAACCGATGTTCTAATTAATTGTTGTTATGAGAGGCCTTTTTTTCGATTACTTATATTTATATGCTGGAAACTTTTTTTTTATTCACCAACGTCTCAACCGAGGCTCGACCTGTTCAGAACCAAAAGAAAATTAATATCGAGCCAAACCTTATTTATTATTTAATTATAACCTTGATGTTACAACTATATTTTGCTAGTGTCTGGTAATATATGCCGGTATGATAAGATGGACATAAATCAATTCTTATTCTAGTTTTGGCTAGATTTATGGTGACTTCTACAGCTTCGCGATTACGACAATGAAGAATTTTAGTAGATCGGTCCGATGACTCCGATAGCGATACCCGATACACCACCGCCGTCTTTGCGCATTCATCATATCGTTAGGGGGGGGGGGGGGGGGGGGGCAGCGGAACTATCGGAACGATCTACTAAAACCCTCAAGTATCACGCAACGGCTGCCACGAGGAAGCATTGCTCTATCTTCGAGGTAAATAGAACTTCCATTGCTTTGCTGAAAAAGCTCAATGCAGAGCATAAAACATTCTTGAGACACAATATGGCACTCCCATCCAGTGCCTGAGTTCAAATGGTGTTCAGCGTGCAGTCGACCTACAGAGTAAGAAATAACGAAAAATGTCTGACGAGACTTTCGAGAGTCAGCTGTTGCTCAAAATACTCAAGGTCATTAAATGAAGCAGGTTGCAACAATAAGAACTTCAATAACCCCCTTCCTTTTGTTTCTTAATTGAAGACAATAATGTTGAAAGTAACGCCAGGAAAGTAACGGATTACTTTTTGGGGTAACGGTCACTTACTTTTATGGAAGGGTAATTGTAATTGTAATAAATTACAATTTAACCTTGAGTAATTGTGAATGTAATTCCTTACTATTTTTCAGTAACGTGTACAAGTCTGGTCCGGAGAACACCAGAGAACACGCAATTAGCAGTCGCCTGCTGCTCTTTTTATAATGTCACATTTCCCTATATCCCTAGTATCCCTATCGTCCCTGCCTTGACCAAAACGGCGTGGTCAGTCTTCGTCACGTTCAGGCACGCCCCTTTCCTCTCCCTCACATACTGCCACGCGTCACGCACGCCGAGAGCCTGCTGTCCTTGGTCGGTCGCCGGCGCCGTCAAGTCCGGATGGGGCAAAGAAATAATTACCCCCAGGTGCAGATGCTTGGTTCTCGCGCGCTAAGGAGATAATCCCATTAGCGCTTTAAACTGGGAAAAAGGGCGCAAAGCCGCCTCCTTTGTCCAGGGCGTCTCAATACGTTGATGGCGCCATGCATCAAGACGACACAAAAGCAGCAAGGAGAGGGGCCGGAAGTAAAAACGCGTCGGTCAACTCGATGATCCCCTCGCACCAAGGTGCGTTGGCAACCCCAAGTCGCCTATCGCTTCGTTTTTGGGTACAGCTGACCGGAGCCACGTGGCGACGATACTCAAGGCGTTCACCGGTGCCGATCGGATTGGACAGGGAAGGTCGTTTCCTGGGGCCTTTCGCAACAAGAACTACACGGAAAAATAAAATGCAAGTGAGGACTGTTTTTCTGCGGCTATTTCAAGCACATTGCTAACTATCGTAGAGCACCATGAGAAACAAAAAAAAAATCTTACTGCGATTTTAATTTTTAAAACTGTAATTCTTTAGTTGATTCGTGCTCGGGAGTAAACAAACTATCAATAACTTGCCTTTCACATGACTTTAAATTACCAAGCGAAGTTCGTAAGCCACTGCTCCATAGTCTCAGTGGTTTAGCATACGTTGAAATTCTGCATTTGGTCTTAGTGTTGATTTAGAAACTCAGCATTATTTGTGAACCAGAAACTTTAATAATAGCAGTTTTATAAATAAAATATTGTGTTTACAGATGGTAGCCGAGTCCGTAGCCATAGGTGCTCAGGCCGTGACCGTAGCGAAGTCCGTAGGTGCCCAGACCGTAGCCGTATCCGAGGCCGTAGCCGTAAGTTGGGACCGCGTGGACAGCTGAGAACGCCGGGGCAGCGTAGGAGGCAACCTTGGCGATGGCCGGCACGGTGTGGACAGTGGCCACAGCCGGGGCCGTGTGGACGGAGGCGTAGCGGGCGACCGGGGTGGCCACAGGGTGCTGGCTGCGGTAGCTGCTCACGCTCGACACGTGGGACACGGCGGCTCCGTGGTGGACGGCGGTGACGGCTGGGGCGACGATCCTGCTGTACACTGGGGCGGCGTGGTAGGCCCTGTAGCCGTACAAGGGACTGGCGTAGCCAGCAAAGGCGCAGCTGGCCACAGCCACGAGAAGGGAGGCACGGAACTGTAAGTAGAAAAAATATATTAAAATTTAATATATCTTTAAACTTTAAGTGAGTTCAACCAAGCCGGAAGGATGTCATCGAACGTTCCTTCTAATTTCTTTTTGTTTACGACAAACCGTCTAAAAATCAGTGACTTTTGCAGCAGTTTTAATATCGGTTATCAGTGAGGACATTTCACAAGCAAACAGGTAGAACACTTTTGTTATTCTGATAAAAACGATTGGTTTATGAAATGGTGGTGGTTGTTCCTTTTATAGCTGTAAACGTAATTTGTTGTTGTAAATATTATAAATCGCAATAACACTGAATTATAAAGCGTTTTTATTTCCGTACTTGAATGCTGTGAAGCCGAATTGAAGTGAGATTTACCTCACTAATTAAGCAGCAAGATCTTTTTATATGCGCCTGAAATGTAGGAAACGAATACTTACGGCAAACATGATGGTTTGTAGTTCAGCTGGGACTGCACAAATGGTAGTGAAAAACAGCAAGTCGCCGCTCTTTTTATACATCTAATTCGCTCAGAAAGGGAAGGGGAAGGGGAAGACCAACTAGGCGGGGCGAGCTTGCTATCAAATAACACCCAGGTGCACCTTTTGCAGGGTAAAAGTATGCGTGTTTAGATCACGCGCGAAGATTGTTTTAACGTGGGCCTTGCCTGATCCATGTTGATTTAGCCGTAGTCAAGCTCAGTAATCTGAGCAACGCCGATAAAAGAGGAGTGCTGACATTTTCTCGGAACTGGACGTGACGGGCAAGTGAACGTGCACAGCTGCTTAATCGGAAGAAGCGGTCTGCGGAGGTGCTTTGCACGTACTACATAGAGTACAGAGGAATTCAGAAAATATAACGGAAACACATGACGTTTGAAACATGCTATACATTTGAAGAAACAAAACAAATACTTTGCGATTTTTCTTTTTGCGGGTCGTCCTCAAAAGGGGACACTGACTATATTTTGTTAAGTGCCTTGCTAGGAGTTGTGTATTCCCAGACTACGATTTGTCTGAAAATATACCGCTTTATTTACGCCGTGAGACATGCTTGGAACGATGATCAGTATGTAAACCAACTCAATTTTTCGAGAGTTGTCTAAAGATATAGAACGAAGAATTAGGCTTGCGGTTCCGAATCCCGTGTAATTGCGAGGGATCTGCGAGGGATGTCAACTTTGCCATGCACGCGGACTTTTTTCATCGCATGGGAACTGAAACATCTTTAATCACTGTTAAGTGCCTTCATACGCACGATGCATAGAACTAACAAGTTGTTTGGTGGAAATTTTTGAAACCCCGCACTTCGAGGAGAGTTTAGGAAATACTTTCCTACTGAGGTACATGTTCAGGGACTTGGTACATGCATTGCACTTGTTGCACAATTATCATTAGCCGCGCACAGGGCATTATGACAACAATTTACCATAAACCTTAAAAAGACGACTGTAATTACAGAAACTTCATAGTATTAATAAAAATATAATTCAACAAGGTATAACAGATAGCTACGTTTATAATTGGGTTAAAAGAAACGGGTATCTGTAGGTCCTCCACTGATGTATTTGCTGTAATGGTGCGCTTAGAAAGGAAATTGTGGCACGCTCTTAATTGTTTTATACATTTAACAGTACCGCTCTAGACTACTTAGAGCCAGCAGAGTGAGTTATCGCCATACTTAGGAGATCTCAAAAACCAGGAAGAATGTAAAAATATATATAGGGAGAAATGCTCACTCATAACGCTATTACGGAACACGAGCAGAACATGAAATTGGGGTCAAAATTTGTTCAACAGTGGGTAGTGCAAAACATTTCACGTCACCTGTTCGTTCTCAGGTGTTTCAAGCGGGGTCGGTGCTCTGCTGTTGGTGACGGTAGTAGAAGTCGCAATTTTCTTCTTCCGCGAGGCAGCCGTCTTAAAGGGTAACTGCTAAGAAAAAACAAAGCGTATTTTTAAACAGCCTAATTGGGACAAGCATGTCATAAAGCAAATTTTTCTGCAAAAAATGAAATTTTTTACAGCAATATTTATTGCGCGAGACTCATTTTAGTTGTTGCTATTTCGTCCGTTTTAAATCGCGCGCCCCACTGTTGGTATTAAACGTCACAGAGTGGCTGCTATACGTCACGGAGTGACGTATAGGCACCTGCAATGCTGTTTGGTTTGGCGCCATCTAGCGACTGAAGCAAGAAATATTGAGCACCCCTGGGAGTGGCGGCTGCATTGTTCAAACGTGAGCTTTTACTCTGGTGGCGTCGCTTAGCCTAGTGTCTGAAGCAAGAAATACTGAGTGTCCCAGGAAGCCGTGATCACGTAACGTGCCAGTAGAGCGGAAGCTACGGCCCTGGCGGGCCAATCGGAACGTGACTGCGTATCACCGGAGCGCGCATTAACTCCGGAGAAGTATGAGGCTTTTATGCCCAATATGTGTGCGTTGCGCTCGTATACGTCGCGCATTTCGAAGCCTCCGGCACGCAATCTCGGGCTTATCGTTCACCCTTTGCCAAGTTACAACGAGACAGGGTATAACCGTGCGCTCTCACCCTGCTGGCGCCGCCTGGCCGTTGCCGGCTGGCTATAGCATCCACTCCGCGCGCGTCGAAAGAGCAGGAGTTTCAAGTGTGGGGAAAGTTGTGACTCCGACTAAATTACGTCCTGCGGCGTAAATATTGCTAGAAAAAAAATTGTTTTTTCGCGGAAGATTTGTTTTGTAACATGCTTGTCTTAAATGAGCTGCTTAAAAAGCTTCTTTTCTTTTTTTTTTCGCAGTTACTTTTTACGGTTTTCTCCGAGGTACCGAATGTTCGCCGATCGCCACGGCGTCCCCGTTGTGCCTCGGAGTTTCACCGAGCCTTCAATGTGGGATTCCAGGAGGACACAACCTTGTCTTCATGTCGGCGTTCCCCCAGCCCTCTGACTTGTCTTTTCGTCCCATTTCTTTTATATTTTCAAGAAAGCTCTTCTGTCGGTTTTGCTTGTTTCTTTACGCAGAATGAAACCCTTGTACGAGAAATAACTCATATATTTACTTTGTAAGGAAGTCACAAATAAGACAAAAAGGAGTTGCATGTATCAATATATTATCACACTTAAAAATTTTAGAACAGTGTTATTTTGCAGAAAGTTTGTTTTTCGTACCTTTCACAATGTTATTTATTTATTTATTGTGCAGTACACAAATATATAGAACACAAAGCTGCAAAAGATTTTATAACAAGCGGGGGAACGCCGCCCTTGAACGACACGGGGTCTTAATTAAAAATGTCAACGATATTACTATGAAAATATACAAACGACAGATGGGTATATGTAATGCCTGGACATGTTAATTGTTTATTTATACTAATATTTGAGATGAACATGCCTCTGCGCCGTAAAATCGGAATTCAGACTTGTCGTCGTCAAATAATCATTGTTCATGTCATTGTCGAATAAGCACTGAAGGCCAATACTTGAACGACTGTGCTTTACTTTCTCTAAATCACCCAGTGGGCCCTTTTCGAACACCGATAATATATATATTTTTTTACTTCAGACGCATGAGGGTGAAGGTTGAAAACAAACCTTTGTGTCACTTTGATTCGTCTTAGAGTGGTGTTACTTTTTCGAGAACGGTGCTTCTGAGACCGATCCACTTTATGCCAACAATATGAACTCGGAAAACGTAACGTCAGCGGTATAGTTGTCTGTGTGCGGGACCGAGCAATTTGCCTTCCAGGAGTCGGTTTGTTTACTACTTGTGTCGGGAACCTAAAGCTACTTCATTTAATACCTGTCTTCACACTGTCGACTTCTAGAATGTTCTATTCCTTCCATTAGAGTATAAAAGACTTATTGCGATACTCTTCGCACGTACTTGTTCAGATTCATCCGAAGGACAAGTCCCTATTTGCGAATTTTCTGGCGTATATGCGAGTTTTCTTTTACTTACAAAGGTTGATCGAACTGAACTCCCACCTAACTAGCAATTGTCAGCAGTTTAATTATAAAAAATGAATTAGATCCCAAGTCACCGTTACAGCACCATATATAGTTGAAATAACTAAACTTAAAAAAAAACCGCTGGTTAGCACATTTGGCCGTTTCAAAACAAAGCTTGAGGACATCTATATTTCTATAAAATTAGTTTTTTCAACTCAAACATACAATGCTCTGTGCAAACCTCCAATGGAACATTTTAAAGATAAAAAAGTAACTATCAAGACGCCTGCTTATCTACTACGTTATAGAGAATGTGGTTGGACAATTGGTAAAACATGCACAGGGCGTGAAGCGAATGACGAGTAACAAATAACGGTTTTTCTCGAAAACGCGTGGTGATCAGGAGTGACGCATGTTATTTCTGATGCTTATTTCCTCCGCAGATAGTGCTTTCGAGCCAGACATTTTTCTATATGACGTGCAAGTTCGTCTGATCCTTGCGCACATTGTGCGTTTGTTTATCTTTGAAACAGGTTTATCTGCTTTTGTCCCCCCCCCCCCCCCCCTTTCAACCAATCACGGCGCGCTTGGTTGCCTTCTCATCGCTGGTTTCTTTCTTGTTTTATATTTTTTTCTTTGATTGGCGTGTTCCTCCTTGCATGTCGATGCGCCAAAGGAGCATTGTGGAACATTTGATCGCCGTATAGACCGCCATACCTGTAAGATGCTATGTAGATAGTGACTATTGGCACTATATGTGATGCTCAGGGAACTACAGCTTTCAGTACGTTTATCAGATGGTATGTGCGAAATAATATATTAGACAAATCAATCCTTTTATAACATTTACCATCCATGTGAGACTTGTGTTTTACTGGGAATTGCATCGGAATCGTTAAATAAACTGAGGTCATAAATTCGATGGATGAAGCAAAAAGGATTCATTAAAGACAACGTTATGGGCCCGCACAATCACTATCAGATGGACGCAGAATCTGAGCAGCAATTGCGACCAAAAAGGTAATTTGAAGGCAAATGCCCTTATATCCCCAGGACAAAAGATATTTTGATCAATTAGTCCAATAAACACATGGCAACATATAAGATGCTGTAATATCTTAAATATGCCTTATTATATAACTTCCGATATGTGTATTAAAAAATCAAACAATAAAATTCGCTTATTTTCAATAGGGGCCTATTTTCTACCCGTCTAGCTACAGTCTGGTAGTTTACGCTCATGAGCTCGGTTATCACGTGTAGCGGCCATGTTTTATTAAACATTTATAAAGTAATGAAACATTTTGTTAGCAGTGGGTTAGAGGGTTGTGCGAGTAGTGGTTCAAATGGAATAGCGGTGCGTCAGTCATAGCCTCGACAGTGTAAAGGAAAGCCAAGACGACGGGTTCTTTATACAGAGCAGAAGCTAGCAATAACTCTGTGCTATTCGATTCTAACCACTATTCGCACAGCCCTACTGGGTGGCCATCAAAGATTAAAACTTGCAGTCACAAGATCACACA